AAATCCCTATGTCAAAGGCATACACAAATGGCTGAGGACTTCAGTGTTGAAAGGATGCAATTTGTGATCTTAAGCAGTAGGTAGGACTGTGAGGGCCAGATTCAGAAGGAAGATTTACTCCCATATTACCTGCAGACATGGAAATGTTGATTTTGATAGAAACACACACACACACACACACACACACACTCACACACTCTCTCTCTCTCTCTCTCTCTCTCTCTCTCTCTCTCTCTCTCTATCTCTATCTATCTAATACGTACCTCTTAAACTTCTGAGGCCCCTTCCTGAGAAACCTCACCTGGCTTCCTTAGCCCTGCAGTGAGGAGACTAATTGAGATTCTTCAAGAGAAATCCCCTTCGCTTTTCTTCCATAGCCATATTAGCTGCAGACATGGAAATGTTGATTTTGATGGGAAAACACAGACACACACATTAATACGTACCTCTTAAACTTCTGAGGCCCCTTCCTGAGAAACCTTACCTGGCTTCCTTAGCCTTGCAGTGAGTAGACTAATTGAGATTCTTCAAGAGAAATCCCCTTCGCTTTTCTTCTGTAGCCATGAGAAGACTCGTTATGCATTCTATACTCTAGTCTTTCCCAAACTCTGACTCTGCTTAGCCCAAGTGCTAATAAAGCCCAGGGAATGATGTCTAGGGATTCCATTAAGCATGTCCTATGGCCTTCCCCCCGCTGAGCCCAGTGTGGGAACACATCCTTGCTCCTCCTTAGATGAAGGATTCAGAGAGCAAACATCAGAATTGAGCTGGCACAAAGCTTGCCTTTTTGCTGAGTGGATGATTTCAGCCTTGAGATTCTACCCCCAGAACTTCAGGGTGGCATTCACCTGCTGCTCCCCAGAGTATTAGGAGTAGTTAAGAAAGTCCCTCAGCAATGATCCTCTTGATCTGCCTGTGCTAGCTTTTCCTAATAAAACAAACTACTAGACATTCTGCCTCACTATGTCACACCTAATACACCTTGGGATGTCTTTTCCAAGGGATCTCTTCAAAAGAAAGCCCCTCTGTTGCTTTCCTGTGGCCTGGGGCCTACCACCTGCCTTCCCTCAATGGACTGTGCTGCTAAAGGGTCAACTTGGGGAGGGCTGTGAGAGAAAGAGCAAGGCAGGACATAGGCTACTAGGGCTCATGTCTTTCCCCTCTCGTTATGTGTGTCCACTGAGCTGTCCTCTTTCTGTTTTGTAATGAGTTCTTCCATGGCAAGTTGACCTTTTGCCTGAATAGGTCAAATACCCACTGAGTGCTAATCCTCAGCCTTCCTCACATTTGTGCATCCCTGGAGGAGAGGAGCACTGGTCAGGAAGATGACTGGGTGTGTGTGGTGGATTTCTGAAAGAGAGATTGTCTTTTTATTGCACGGAATTCTCAAAGACCACCCTGTGAGGTTATGCTGAAGAGTCCAGATTAGAACGCTGTTGCTGCTACTGATGAGGGATAAAACTGATTTTGTAGACTGTGTTCTCCTTCTGTATATTCTACTTTTTGTTGAGAGTAAGGCCAAATACAGTCCTAGTGACTCCTCAGATTATTTTGGAAGTCTAAAACAGCTGATCAGGATTTCCTTAGTTGAACTTTTAAAGTTAAAAAAAAAACAAAAACCTTTCTCCTTTCATATTTTCTATTTAAAGTCTCAACACTTGAGGTGCTCTATTTTTAACTCTTGTAAAATACGGTAGGTACTAGAATTGTGGTGCTTCTTGATCATAATTGTATACTGTGCCTAGTTTAGTTTTAAATTGCTTAAAATTGTCTTTCAAACTGTGAGGGTCCATAATCCTTATAGTAGCTAGAGATTTTCAGCATCAAGTGAGCAAATATTGAATATAATTTTCAGTTGAATTATTGTTTGATTTTTTCTTTTAATAGTTTATATGAGCTGTTCAAATTATACAGCTCTCCTATCAGTAAGTTAGTGATATAATCTTCATAGACAAGGAATTATATCTTTTTTTAAATTTGGCAATGTCTTCTGTGCCGGGGTGTGTGTGTGTGTGTTTGTGTGTGTGTGTGTGTGTGTGTGTGTGTGTGAATTGACTGATTTAGTATTATTTAGGTTTTACAATAGTAATCTCTTAATTGAACAAAAAAATGAAATATGTAAGCAGCTGAGATGAAAGTGATTGTTCATCAGGAATAAGTATATATTGTATCTGGGCTATCAAAAGATTTCAAATAGTCAATTTTGAAAACAGAGAAATCTAAGAAAGCTTCATACAGCATGATTCTCATAAGAGAAAATGTCCTTTAGATCTTCTTCAAGCATTAATGATCCTTTGTAAACACAGTAAGATTAAAACAGAGAACCGAAGTAACTATGTTTACATTGTTCCTGAATTATCAGTGTCTCAAGCCTGAAAATGCCAAATATGATAGGTTAAGTGCAAGATAAGAAATCTGTATTTAACATCTATTCAGTTACCAATAATGCCAGAGTTAAAGCAGTGCTCCTACCAGAGGCGTAATGGGCTCCTGCTTAACATATTTATGTTGGTTGTAAAATTAGGAACTGTCATTACAGCCCCACATCACCTGCATAAGTGAAAAACATATAAATCAAGAGAAGTTCTAGTGCCATAAAAATGCCATTGAGTAGAATAGCATGAAACTACTTACAAGACACTTGCATATTATGCTAGCATGTATGGGTGTGTGCACTTTGGTTTCTAGAGATTTGAAGAACAAAGAATAACTGCAGATAGGACTCATGCATGCAAGCCCTGATGAAAACATTTATTTGGAGAGCAGCCTGAGCCCTAGTGGGAATAACTCAAGGAAAGAAAGGCCAGCTATGACCTAGCTTCAACAACCCCTACATGTTATTCAAGGCAACTGTTTCTTGAGCTTCTAGAAGGCATTTGAGCTACCATCTGTTGTTATTGGAGCTTGCTTCGTGGGTCTGAACATTTCTTGTGATATTTTAGGGTCCCCTATACATTAGTGGCTATTGCTGTTTTGTCCCCCTCCCCATCCAGTTATTTGTAGACAAGCTTATATTGTCTATAATTGGTACATTTTTAAATGAGGTACAGTGTTTTATTTTGAACTTTGTAATTGAAAGCCCTGAAGTGCCCCCCAAATTATGAACTGTTAATAAGCTTTCTGAACCACAATTACTGCCTCAAAAAGAGAGTGGACAGTCTAGAAGTCTTTCAACTCCCCCTTCTCTCTCCCAAAAGCTACCCACCCCCATAATCTTAAAAAAAAAAGGCTGCAGATTTATTCATGTGGGATCATTCACACCAAGCTACCATAATGTGCAATTAACACTCTAGAAACTGAAAACAGTATTCAGCAAGACAGCTGCATTATCAAAAATGCCAAAGGAGTTTTGAAGGGAGTAATGTGCATGTTAGAATAGGAAATTAATCACAAACCCATACACACGCACACACGCACAGTAGTGCTGTCTTAAATATATTTGAATATTAAAATATTTAAAATCTTATGTCTAGGCTTATGATAAAGATTAATCTTGAGATAGAAATCTGATTTTTCTGTTTTAAAATTATTACTTTAGTTGTATGTTTTGCTTCTCAAGCAAACAAGGATGCTGGAGTAGAAATCTCTTACGGTTCCTTTCAGCTGAAATATTCTTTAATAATAATCACTCTTCAATTATATTTATAAATTCTTCCATTGAAAAAAATGTTCTTTTCTTTTTTCTCTAGCCAGTAATAAGGGTACTTAACACTCAGGCTATTTTCAAAGTGCCTTTCTGATGTTGCAGTGGTAAACCTGCTACTTTTGCACAGCACAATAAATAAGTGTATTTATATTATAATCCCTACTAAATTATGAATTCAACGAACCGACTCAGTAACTGAAATGAAACAAAATTCTCCCTGCAGTATTTTGCTGGAATTTTCTTGTCAACTAGCTGAAAGTATGTTTAGAAATCAGAAATACAGGCTTTTGATATTATTTTCAATTAGTAGTATCTGCTTGAAAAAGCAGAAGTTTGTAATACAATTTTTCATGAAAAGCAAGAGGACATGGAGAATTTACTTGTTGGAAATATGAGAAAGATTTGAATCTTTTATAAATCACTATGAAGCAATTTTATGATGCTTGGCAATTACAAAGAACAAACCAGAGGTACATGTTTAAAAGTAAATTGGCATCCCATGTTTTACAAAGTTTCAGAGAGGAGACCCTCCCTTCTGGGTCCCCAACGATCATGCCTTAAGCCCTGTTTTGTTAAGGATTATGGGGGTTTTGTGAGTGGCAGATGCCTGCAGGCAGGGCTTATGGAGTGTTCCAGGAAGGGAATAACTACCTCCTAGTTAGTAGGAACATGGCAGTGTTTGGGAACCTCGGGTAAGGACAGTCACTGACATGATCGGGCACATTCTGGCAGAGAGCCCATGTGTACTCCCAGATGGTCCTGTAGCACAAGTTACAAGTGAATATTCAGTAACTATGAAATTCAGCTATCATGGGCCACTTCTCACTAGGGCAAATGGTCATTAATGAGAATCTCTTATTGATTTATTGCTTTTATTAAACTGTCATAGTTATTACATTAGACGGTATAATAAATGCTGTATTTATTATTTCTTAGCATAAAAGTTGTGACAAGTTTAGATGAAAAGTAATTTTTAGATGCTTAAAAAATATCAATACCTTAATTTTAAGAAAAACAATGTACTAATTTATCTTAATGGAATATGATCATTTGTGGTTTTGCTCTAATATACTAGGAAGAACAAAAGGAATTTTTAAAAGTCTGGGTATGGTGTTTGGTTTTCTTTTGTTTTTTAATGTTTCTGGGAGTTAATATTCAACCTATACAATGCTTATGTTCTGACAACTCAGAATTAAAATTAATACTGGGTGGTATTTCTTTCAGATCTCATTGATATCATTATTGGGTAATGGTTCAGTTGGACAGAAATAAAGCTGATGTTCTGAAATTAGAACTCCAACTTAATTGTTTTTCTTCCTTTTCTTTCTTTCTTTCTTTTTTTTTTAAGTTATAGGTGCACAACGAAGGAGAAGCCCCAGTGCACTAGCCATTGAGGTATTTGAAGCACATTTGGGAAGTCACATTTTACAGGTACCTTTAAAAGAAAAAGAAATTTGCTTTTATTTAACCAAAAAAATCTGTATCTTTATGCTTTTTATAAATGTTTGAAGTATTTATAAATATTTTTAATTTCAGATGTGTATTTGTTGCTATTTTATCTTGGAATTCTGAAATTCTTATGAATTTGTTTTTTTTTTTCTTTTTAGAAAGCCATCCTTTGAGAGAATATTAATGAGAAAGGGAGGGCAAGTATTATTTGTGCTGTAATAATTTAAATGAGTTGCACTATTTAGTTGATGTGCAATGTATAGCAACTGGCTGTTCCCAGAGTAATTGTATGCGTGCTGTATTTGTAAGTGGATCTATGTGTGTGTCTTTGGAGCTACATATTGTTTTTGGAAGAGCAAATTTTGTTGCAAAAGTACTGTGACATTTTTATGTGTTGCCTAACTTCAGTTCTTTGCTTGAGTTTGTATTTGTTAAGTGCTTCCAATCCTAATATTTGCTTCCCCAAATCAGTTTCTTAAGATGCAATTTTTAAGCAGAGGAGACCAATAATAATACATTTTCCAGTGAATTTCATGACAAGTGAATGTGAAATTTATTAGGATGGAATTGTAGTTCCTTAGCCCTAGAAGATTCACCCAAACTCAGCATCTTACTTACTCAAAATATTGTTTTTTAAAACTGTGGTATCGATTCAGCACATCTGCCTTCATTCATGGGGACCTTTCCTGTAGCGTTCCTGCTTTCAAGATAAATGTCACAACCGCACCTTCCTTTACTGTGAAAGTTATTTTTACATAGAATTTGAGAAGGAGACATACTGTGGATATTGAGGCAGTTTTTTGTGTTTGCAAAAGGCGGTTTTGTTTTTCTTAGATAAACTGTGGCTAAATAAAAATAAACTTCAGAAAGCTCTCAAATCAGAGTTTTAAAAAAATCTCAGTGATGCTTTTGTTTTCTAAATAGTCAAAAAGTACTTTGAATCTAATGTATTATTCCCTAAAAGATGCACACTGAAAAACTGTTCTCACTTTCTGCTTGAAAAAAAAATAGCTCATGGTCAAATCCCCGAGGTGCTCCAAAGCAGTTTTTGCTAGTAGTTTAAGAATCACCCAGTTATTCACGGGATATATATTCTTGGGCCTCAGTCAGGATCTGCTGAATCAGACTCAAAACCTTCTGAGGTAACTCTGATGTTGCATAAGATATGAGAAATCATAATTCACATTTTCAAATGTAAGGCTTTGAGAAGTCTTTATTTTTGTTTACTTCACATTTGTCATTTTCCATTAATATCTGTTAAAATAGCTTACCCAGCTGATGTTTCTTGAAACCTACCTTGAGAGATGCTATTCTGTCACATATATAAAATTTGAATGTACCTTTGCAGTAACCTAGGATTAGTTTTACAAATACAGAATCATGTTTTTAGATGCTGAAATTTTTATGTCCTCCTTTCTCCTACATACTGTGTTTCAGAATCTCCATTGTCAAGTTTGGTGGGGGCCGTAACATAGGAGGTGTGATCGAAAACTACAGCAAATATTTTACATTTAAAAAAAATTTTTTACAGTAAAAGACACATTGACAGGAATCCTCCTCAAAATACTCCCGCTCACTTTCAAACACATTTATCTCATCATTCTTGTCACTTTTGGAAGTAATTCTAGAAGTCCATATTCATGAATATCTTTTGTTGCAGTGCTGTGGTTGCCTCAATGTCCTGAATCAATTCAAAAGGTTTACCTTTCATGGCCATGTGGACTTTGGGGAATGTCCTGGAGTCACACAGTGCCAGATCTACTGGATGAGGTCGCACTGTCATGTTTTTACAAGCCTAGCTTTCAATTGGATGACACTTAGCAGGTGCATTTACAGTAGTTGTGATCACACATGATAAAGTCACTCCCAAAATAGGACTTCCAGAACTGCTCTAGGGAGTGGCAACAATGACAGATAAGTGTGTTTGATAGAAGGGAATATTTTGAACAAGGGGGAGTATTTTGAAGGTGATCAGTGACAAAATTTCTTTTACTATAGTAATTTTTAAAATTTAAATAATAAAGATAACTTCCTGCAAGAGTTAGACATATTACAATTATATGTACCCACGTCTGTAGCAGTAAAATTGGTAGTAGCTGAATCTTGGAAGTGGTCTATATGTCTATCAAAAGATGAATGGATAAAGAAAATGTACTATTTACATAGACTGGAGCACTTACTAAGCAGCCATAAAGAAATAAGGGAAAATGGTGCATCTTGGGACCATAATGTTAAGTGAAATGAATCAGACATACAAGCTTAACTATTGTATGGTTTCTCTTATGTGAGAAACCAAATTATAAATAAAGATCAAAATAAAAGGTAGCTAGATAGTAGGAGAGAGGGAGATCTTTTTCAAAGGAAAGGAGATCAACAGATGGAGGGAGGGGAGATGATGGGGGAAGAATGAAAAAATAATTGAGATATGTTATGTATGTATAGCAACTCTCAGGAAATGCATTCGTTATGTAATGCAAATTTATAGTTATGAAAAAGAAAACTGGCAAGATTTAAATAATTAGTTTACAGTTTGATTTTACTTCATATACATTGTTGATTCTGATGTGAGTCAGAACTACTCCTGTTTACATTCTGAAGCACTCAGTCCCTAAAATTTAGTGAAAGAAGTGTTTGAAGAGTAGCCTTAGGTTATTACCTGGTGAGTTCTTTGTGGAAATCATGATTCTAAAGTTGTATGGGGAAGATGAGTTAGGAATTGTGAGGATTTAAAACTGACAAAACTTAGAATTTAAATTGAATACAACTCAATATAAAAATATAATATAGATTAGCTGTCTCAAGTGCCCACTTAACATTATGGTTCGTTGAGAGAACAGAAGATCTAAAGGGAGGCTTCCAACCCTTTTTCATTTTGCTCTGGTCACACTACTTAGATGCCACCCTTAAGAGAAGTCTAGACAGCTGGATGCCATGTGGAGAAGAATAACAGCATTGATTGACAAGAGAATTAGAAATCGTGACACATGAAGAATGGCAAAGATCCTGTGAGAGTTCAATTTGGAAAACACATGACTTAATATATGTTTGAGTATGTTTTTTTAAAGATTAAGTAGATTCTGTTTGGCTTCAGAGTACAGAAAAAAGAGCAATGCATACAAATTAAAGGGAAATTTAGAAATAGAAGAGGAACGCCTTCCTACAAGAATCCTCCCCAGTGGAAAACAGTATGGAGATTCCTCAAAAAAACTAAAACTAAAAATTTCATTTGACAGAGAGCTATTCCCTTTCTAGGTATATTCCTGAAAGAGCTAAAGACATCATCTTGCAGTGATATGTTCATAACCCATGTTTATGGAGTAGAACTTATAATAGATAATTCATGGGGAAGTGGCCTATATTTCTATCAGTAGTTGAGTGAATATAGAAAATGTGGTATATATACATAATTGAGTTCTACTCTTCCATAAATAAGGGTGTTTGAGTCCTTTGTTAGAAAATGGATATACTTTGAGTTAAGTGAATGTTAAGTGAAATAAATGACACACAAGTTGCCCATTTGCCCATCAGTTGGAAACTGGATGAAGAAGATGTGTTTTTATGGAATATTACTCAGCCATAAAGAATGAGAAATTAGATTCATTCATAGGAAAATGGATACATATTGAGGATATATTCTTAAGTGAAATAAATAAGTCACACATGTGTAAATACCGAATAGTTTCTCTGGTGTGAATAAACTGTAATAGTAAACAAGATCCTAATGATATAAAGGACAATGTGAAATAGGAAGAAAGGGGCTAAAGGTGTAGGGAAAGTGGGAAGGGTAGGGGAAAGCTAATAAGGGAAGAGAAAAAAATATGAGAAAATGAAAAAATGGAAATGAAGTGTTTGTAAATGGGGAGGGGAAGAGGGGTGAAGGGAGGACAGGAACTAGGGGAAAAATGAGAAGCAAGACCTGTTATGTAAAGGTACAAGATCCCAATAATGAATATAACTGCACTGTATACCTAAAATGTACCAATAAACTCAACAAGGAAAAACATGACACACAAGTTTAAATATCTAATGGTTTTTTCATATATGAGAAACTCAAACTATTAATAAATTGAAGAACAAAATAAAAGATAGATAATAGGGAACAGGAAGATGAAGGGGAAAGGGAAACATGAGATGGAAGGAGGGGAAGAAATAACAGATGTAAAAAGAATTAACATTTGGTATGTACATGTTCCAGCTTCCCATGATGAGTATAATTATTTTGTCCTGCAAACACATGCTATTAAGTAAATTCAAAGGAAAAACAAAACCACTCCCAAATATAACTGGCTACGTTTAGAATAAAATCAAAGCAGTTCGATTTAAGGAAACATATAGGTAACTATTGGCTTTAGAGGCATATATAAGTGACTTGGTATATAGGCTTTCAAGTAAGTAAGACTTCCAAACATTGTGTTGTCATACAGTCTTGATATTTTCATAGAAACTTTTTGTATCATTTGGCTTTAACATAAGTGCTTATGGGGTGGAAGGACTATATAATACTCTATGTGGAACTGTGTAGTCTAATATCTTATTCTTTTACTCAAAGGTTATTTTGATTTTGTTGTTGTTGTTTTATTTTGTTGTTGTTGTTTTTGTGATACCAGAGATCAAACTCAGGACCTTGTATCTTATTCATTTAAATAAAAGTATTGTGGTCAGGAGGGGATTGGGGAGTAGGAGAAGAGGAGCTTCCTGTAAGTTATCTACTTTGTTGTCATCCCTGATTAGTAGAGAAATCCATGAGCTCATAAGCTCATGTCTGCGCTACATTCAACAGGATCCCAGAGCTCTGTGAGGATAGGGCAATTTCTACATTTTAAAAAGGTCCATTGCAGAATCTAAATGATTCACAGGGTCTGGAGATGAGTTCTCCTTTCCTTCCTTCACACCTACCCTCCCTTCTTTGTAAATGTTTGCTAAAACTTGTGTGATCGGCAAGGTGTTGGTATGCCCTCCAACCTCACAGTTATATTCATTTA